CGAAAAACGACATTTTTCTGTATCGAAAACTAGTATTGCTGTCGAGACGTAAGTATTGCATCGTAACATAGTAGTATTTTTTTGTGAATATGTATTGCCATTTTTTGTTTACTCTTTCTTGTTTGTTTGTATAATTACACTTGCATAAAGATGAGTCCTCCTGATGATCGTGTTCCTTTCGTATAAATGTGTAATAAATAGCATCAAACTGCAAAATTTCCTGTTTTAAAGAGGGTGATCTTGAAAACTACGCAAAAAAACGGTTATTCGAATTCTCTGATCCAAATAAAGATATAAATCGTCGCAGAAAATGCTTTGAAATTAGGGAACTCTTTCTTCTAAAAGGACGGCTTAGAGTTAGGACTTTGCCTGGCTAAATTTGTTGTTATTTAATAGTTCAGCATGGAATAGAATCCTGCAGCACATAAGTAGAAGACTTCTGATGGGGATTCCTACTCCTATAGGGCACAAGTTTACAAGTACCATAAGTAGTTATGCCATAGAGAAAGTAAAATAATTATTAATATTTTCTCTATGCTGCATACCTACCAGGGAACAGGTCTGGATGCAGCGGGTTGGTGTAGGAGGAAATTTGAAAGACGTCGGCCACCAGCTGCTGTAGGGCGGGGTTGTGGATGTAGACGGCGCCGGACGCTAAGCCGGATTTCCAGCCGTCTTCTCCGAGAGCCAAGTTTTGGCTCAGCGCTTTGAAAATTTCCTCGCGGCTCATTGCGGTGGTTGGGAGCTGCACCAGATAGGGCACGCCGCTGGTTCTCTTCGTCACGTCGTCTTCGAAGTTTCGCCTGGTTTCGTCCAGCACTTGATCCACTTTGGCCCTCAATTGCGGAATGTGCTTGACTAGTTTGAACGCGGTCTTCTTGCCCCTGTTCACAAGGCTTTCGTCGCCGTCCAGGAAATCGTAGATCCACACCATCAACAGGACGGAACTGGTGGTGATCGAGACGATCTGCCAGGGCTCTTTGCCCTGGAACGCGGCGTTTACGTACGTTTTCAGCCAGCTCGCGGGAGATTTTATTAGGTCCATTTTAACGCTCTCGCCCTATTCTAACCTACAATTTACAAGTGGATTCGTATAGGCGGCCACTTTACCAGCGACAAGGTTCACAGAGATAAGACAACATACACCAAAGTACATAGTCATCTAACTTGAAAATAACAAAAGATTGCTTTTTGCTTTGTTTTGTCTGCTATAATTAGGTTATTGGTCCTTTATCGTTTGACTCATGAGCTGATAGGCAACCAGGTATGCGCTTTAACGAATTCGGGGGGGCAACTTACTTACTACCTATTTAGTTGGCTAATTTCATTAGTAAACCATTCTCCAGCCTTCGAATAAAGAAAAGGCTCGAAAAAATCGATTAAACCTATCGAAGGGTTGAAACTTTTATTGGTTTATTTACTGATTTGGTCAGTACACCTTTTTCAGCTATTCGACACGTTTATTCGAATTTGTTGCGAGCTTTTTCTTTCTTCGAAGGGTGGGAATAAGATTTTATTCATTTCTGACGATATAATCTGTGATAAGTTGTATGATTTCGTGCCTCATGCTTCCTGCACATACTGGATTGTGGTACCGTAAAGCATTACCGAAACGAATAAATGGAAAACAGGATATTTTTCTCATTAGAGTTAGTTCATAGCATCGGGTTGCTCACCGCTCAAACCGGTACTTAATACCTCTGTATTATGTAGAATTACAGATTAATATTTAAACAGAAACCTCTGTTCAAAATGAATAATCATATTTTCATATTTTCAGATTATCTTTTTCCTTATCTGTTTTCATAAATCGTCAATAATCTGCGAAGATGGTAGCTGTTTATTGGTGTCTTGAAG